GTTTTTTTAAACAGGGGAAAATCACTTAACTTACGAACCATTTAAACGCAGAAAAAAAATTGAGTGTTACCTAAAAATGCTGGCAGGAAAAAATGTTTGTATAATTTCCTTTTTCATGCTTATGGAAAAAAAAAAGAAAAATGTAAAATGCAAGGAAATCGCTAAATATTTTGAATTCACGTAGAATTCGTGTATAAATCGGAAGAAAAATAACATGAAGCCGGTAGCGTTTTTTTCTTTTTTTCTCCCAATGTATTTGGTTTCGTATAATTTTCGTAAAAATAGCGAGCAAAAAATACTATACCTTTCTTTTAACAAAACTGTGCTTATATTTTTGGAGGCGTTCTGCTTGGGTTCTGTTTCAGTGTATCAAATATACAGCAGCCAGTGGCATTTCACTCCCGTATCATATCTGATACGGTGGACTCGCGGAGAGAAACTGAAGCGTATTATAAATGATACACCGAGAGCGAAAAATTTAACCCAAGGTTCCGATCTCGGATGCTTTAGGGCATATTTATGTTTAATTTCGCATTTTTTCGTGTATAAAGGGAATACGAGCCAGATTCCTATAAAATGTGCTTCACGAAGACTTTACCTTAGGCAAATAATCGTCTTGAGCATTTGGAAAAACAAGTTGTAAATAAAACTAATAATACGAGTAGCATTTAAGAGCGAAAGATCAATAAGACAAGTAATGATGTCTTCAAGTTAATAAATTCACATCTCAAACTCTCGAAATGCAAGTAAATAAATAATAAAATAATTATTCTTTCCATTGAAAATTTTACACACGCAAATTTTTAGTGCGTAGGAAATGCATAAAAACACCGCCAAATTCTATTGTGTTTAGAACGCTCATTTGCAACAGCTTTTAAGAAATTGGCACGCAAATTGGCAGAACGTCAGTATTTTTATAACATGAAATGAACTCTTTCGAAAATACTTTTTTTTCTGCGATCAAGAGGTGATATGTATCAAAGAGCGAGAATATAATAGTTGTATTGTATTTGGAATGTTTTAAGAGCGAAAACGTTTAAGAAATTATATAAATACAGTTTGAATAATATTGTTTTTTTTCCTTTAATACATTTTGCTTCGTAAAATTTTTAGGATTTACCAAAATAAACCTCAAGTCCTTCAAACATGAAGCCATAACATATGGCTTCATGTTTGAAGGACTTGAAGTGTATATATATATATATATATATTATTTTAATTAATTATATATTTATAAATAATATATATATAATATTATTCTAATTATTATAATCAGGAAACATTTCTTGGAGGTACAAAACGTAGAAAACGAGTGAAAAACATTTTATGCAAAGTAACGACAAATAACTATTGCTAAAGAAATTGATACTAATAATTAAAAAGTTCCAGAATATATAATTAATTTAATAAATTATTGATGATTTCATGATATTAGGCTGACTCTTAACGGCCAGTCTCTTACAATAACTTCATTCAATAATTAAGAAATTCTGATTAGGCGTTTTTGTTCTTTCTGATTACTTGAAAGCATATTTAACTGCAAAAATAATAAATGAAGAAATTATATATATATATATATATATATATCATTCAGTTGCATTCGAATTTCTCAATTCAAGCTGAAAATTATCTTTGTCTTCTTTTTTGACTATGAATTCGATATGATTCCAATTAATTTGAATCAAAGAATGCTATTTTGAATTACTCTTTCAACAGCTCTTCCCCCAGAGATATCATTATTTACATTGATTATTGAATTCTATCTATTGCCATCAGTAGCTAAGTGGAGTAAGATCTCTAAATGCTAGTATTGGCTTGGCAGTCGTAATATATGATACATTTTCATTTAAAAAGGTCATTACGCGATGACAGTATTATTATTATTTTTATTATTATAAGGCCACAGCGCCGATCCTCCTAGCCGGCACAAGCCGGCCGTATGATAAAAAAAATTGGAATGACCAGAAAAAACAAATATAAGGGGGAAAAACATATAAAGTTCAAAATCTGAGTCTCAGTGCCGAGTTCCAACTCTTTTTTCGTATTTATAATCTTCATTATTGTCTCTGCAAAATCTTTCAAATTTGAATAGTTCCTTTTAAAATCTTCCTTAAAATTCTTTCTATATTTCTCTCTTGCACTCCGAGTAAGCGTACATTCATCGACGAAGTGCCTGGCGAATGCCTGGAAGTGCCTGGCCATACGCGATGACATGTCTGATCTTAGATAGTTTGCCTTAAACAAAACAAAACAACAAAAAAGTAATAATACCATCAGTGGTCGCTGAATACCTGGGTTGAACGGGCTGGCTCTGTGGTTGATTTTCGTTGTTTTCCCGCCTGTAATGAGAATATGAGCTAGTTTCCCTTTTGTTCTACAGGAAGCCAGTTATTCTTTTAGGCTGACAACACTCTTGTTCAAAATGACCTACACAATTATTAAGCCATAGTGTTCCAGTATTATTAATTGTGCTATTTAACTACAGTAGAACACCAGTTATCCATGATAATGTGGATACTAACTAATGGCCAAGTAATTCAAACTGCCGAATTATTGGTAATTAGAACGAATGGATTGTGTTTATGATGTTTTTGTAGTTTTTCCTATACGATATGCGAATGAGAGCCAGTTCCCATAGTTGATTGGCCAAGTGGTTAAGACCGTTGAAAACTAAGGCCAAGTGGTTAAGACCGTTGAACTGAGTTTTCTCCCAGGCCAAACTGGCCATCTGCATGGTTGGTTTTCATAATTTTTCCTATGTATAATGTGAATATGAGCCGGTTTCATTTAGGAAGTCCTCCACAAAGGCATTCATATCCGTAGGCAGATAGCCCTTCTGTACTTAGGACATGTCCGAATAACCTAACCCTTGGTTGGCTTGTTTTGTTTGACTATGCTAAAACACGTGAGGGTCATATGCCTAAAAAAGGATATCATCTTGGAGAACTTTCTGAAGGAAAATGTTTTACATGGATGTTAAAAATAACGAAAACCATAAAACAGCACCTGTGGAGCTAACCCATTCTTCCGGGATTAAAACCAGGGCGAACTACTCGTACGCTAATATTTCTTGGCCATGTGTTCCAATTTCCTCGGAACATCATTTGTAAGACACATAGCATGCAAGTGTTTCGCCTTGTTAAATTAACTAACCGAGGTAAGAACAACGCTGGATATCTGAAAACTTAATATCTAGCAATATAAGTGATTTGAAGTTAGGAGGACAAAAGGCTTATTTTGGACAGCATTTTGCATTTGAAACTCTTTTCAATTTCGGCTCAGTGTCGGTTTAGTCCTTCTCAGTCACTTTTAGTAACAAGTATAAGTGATTAAACATCCTAAATTACTTTAAAAAAAAGCTGTCACAAATTTGTTTCTCACTCCAAAAAAATTTAACAGTAATTTTCTAAAATGAAATATGCCATCAAAATCGTCTGCAAGCTAGCGCTGCCATCTCGTTCTGCCATGACGCATAAATTCGGTGTTTTCCTCCTTGCTTTTTTCATGTGGCAGTTATATCACGAGTGCAAGAATGGAAAACGATTTTAACCAGCCATACTGACAGCGTATTCGTTAGAGGTTGATTTGTTACTCCCAGATGCTGTTCGCTTTAATCGGTTCAGGTTTTTCTGAGGAAGAATGCTATAATACGCATTCTTTTCATTTTCTTTATTTTAACATAAACGAAGTCTTAACGCATTACAAAAATATGACTACCTTGGCAGAAAAAAAGTCGATGTCCAATTTTGCAAGTTTTGTTGAAAATCGATTATTAATTTCAACATAAAACAACAAAAGTCAGTATTTCTCTAAAAGGTTAAATCTTTTCATTTTCGTGAAAAGCATATTTACTCCTTATTTTAAGGAACATACCATATTGCTTTAGCAAGGCATTCACGAAAGTTAGGCAGATAGCCCTTGTGTGCTTTATCATATTCAGATAACGTAAACTAGTCTCTTTAAACATGAATCTGAACTAGAATGTAATAGCGAAATGATATTGAAAACTTTGTCTACCACGGAATTCCGCGATTTAGGTGCGACTGGCACAAAGGTCTCAAATCCAAACATTTTGCACACTGCCCTTTTTCTACCAAGATAATAATAACAAACTTTTACGTGCTCTAACAACTAGATTCTGCTGCATGGACTGGAATTCCAGCTGAGTACCCACATGTTAGGCAAGGCGTGGTAGTCCAGCCAAAAAGCCACCTTGGAGATGAAAACACTCATCTTTCTGATGATCCGAGCCCCACACCGAACCACCTACAATTTTTAAAAATTTTTGCTCCATAGCACCGTCCCCGGACTGGGCCCGAGAGTTCATCACTCTCTAGTCCGATATTTGCAGGGTGCAGCCGTATTGCCCTGGAAATTTGACTGGTCGTCTAAATGCGTGGATCAGTACTACGCGAATGTCTGAGAGACCAACAGAGCGTAACCACCTTGGCCTGTGTGCCAGGCGAGTTAAGGAAGTTAGGACTACTTGCTCACACCCACAGGTTATGGTGAACCGCCAGCTCAATGTATTTATCCCCCGATACCAAAACTGCCATTCATATTCAATAATATCTTCAGATGTATTATCATAACCTTCATGAATAAAAATTAGTTTAAATATTATTACTTCATTTCAGCGAGTAAATATGAAAATTATATCAGTGAGATCCTTTGTCAGCACATTTTTATTTTCACCATAATATGAGATCGATTTGTGTTACTAAATATTCTAAATTTATTAAGTTCTGCTCCACTGGTTTGACATACGAAGCCAGTGATTGTGACCAACTTTAAAACATTTATCGAAAGATAATAAGCAGTGTGTTTTTAGGTTCTTATATTTAAGTAAATCTACATTGAATCAGTATCAGATCTCCCTGTTTTTCATGGCAGCATTATGATTCCAAAGTTCATGTCAAATGTCAGGCCAAAAGGAGTATTTGTATGTGGGATAAATTGGCGAGTATTTAAAAGAAAAATATGTTCTAACAAACCTCAAAGAAAATTAAATTAATCTTTATTGTATGAATTGTACACAGATGAGGGATGTTTTACATGAGATGACAGTATGAGTGTATTTCGAAGCTTAACGTTGGCAAACTAACATTCACTCAAAAATCGTCCATATTTTCTGCACTTCCATCATTGAAATGGTCGTCGTCGTGATTGAATTGTTCGTTATCATCGTCTTTGAATTGCTCTTTGTCATCGTCATTGAATTGTTCGTTGTCGTCATCGCTCTCGTCTTCGGACTTCTTTCGCTTGTTAGTATCTGCTGGCATTTTGACGTAGTATCCAAATGGTGCGAATATTTGTCGGCCATTGACTTTCTTTGAAGGACCTCTAAACACTTTGATGCTGACTCCTCCGAGTGGCTCATCTTCGTCTTCACTGCTGTCCCCTTTGCATTGCTGTGTCACGAGTATTACTAGGCACACTGAGAGAATTATCTGAAACGATACATTATAAAGACTTCATTAAAGCATTTAAGCTGGAAGCATTTAAGCCAATGTGAAAGTCTTACTTTTCTTTAAAACTTTTGTATATGTAAACTGTGTGCGTCTTATACAAAGGTGGCGCTAGCGACAACGGAAGCTTCAGTAGGATGTTGAACCAAAAACTTGTATATAAAGAAAGAAAGTTTCCATAGATTTAACATAAACTTGTTTGTCTATTGCGCCGCTATATTGTGGAGGGAAAACTTAAGACAAAACTTTTTGTAAATTTAGTTACTAAAAATAAATAATCAATTGATTAATCTGCTTGCGCGGATCACTAATTTGATTTACGTCGATACGCCAGGGAAAAAAATGGTATGACAGAACTTTGAACTCCTGATAAATGTGACTTCGACATATTTGTTCGAACTCTCCATACATCGAACTCTTGATAAACTTCAACACCGATTCGACAACTATTTCGCTCATGGGTAAAAAAGTATTAATGCTGGATCTGTTTCGACACCTGTTCGACAGGTAATTCGCGCATGCGCAAAAAAAAAAAAAAAAAAAAAAAAGGTTGCATAGATAGCCCCTGTTTTCCTCGGCAATCTGACTCAGCCACCCCTGCTTTGGCGGAGATTTCGTTCTTAACTCGTTCTTCCTCATTAACAGCAAAATATTCCAGCGCGTTTTAAAATCCAACATTAGTGTAAGTTCATTTCTGATTTCAGTAAATATATGTTTTTGTGAAACAGTATTTTTAACAGGGGAACGTTTAAATAGCTAAAGAACTATTCGAATTTTCAACAAAGAGAAGAGACCGGAATAGAAATGACCCAGCAAATGTTTGATGCTGATAATGACACATGGATGAAAATAAAATATATTTCAAATAACAATAGATGCCCAATAAGTTAAACCCTTATATATATTAATACTTTTTATCCCCTCGACCGCCAAGTAGCGCAATGTAGTGCGAGTTACGGATGGCTCACTTGTTTTAGATTTCCACAGCAAATCTTGATGACTGTCGACCGTTGTTGAAGTTTTTGTGAGCGGTCGATGAGACAATACGTAAGTACAAAAATATTTATTATTTATAACTAATTGTTATGTATTAATTAATAATAAATTTAATTCTGATTCATGATGAATTTAATATATTATCATTTAAGCACAGTTTCTGAAAATGTTTTACATTAAAGTTAGCTAAAGTTAATCTAAAAAAGGGTGATTTTTTCCCCTCGAGCTGCTTTTCAAAGGTCGGCGCGAAAAGCTACGGATTCCCTACTCAACTTTCAACACTGAACACGTGTTTCAATTGTGGGAATTCGACATATTTCGTTTTCGTCTGAAAGGTAAACTTCCTAATTTGTTTATGAATGCCCTTGTCACAGTTTTGACAGAAATACGGTTGAAAACGTTCCTTGAAATTTTCCGTGAGAAAGGGTTTGATACTGTTGGAAAGGGTTAGACTTTTCATGAAAAAAATGGACTAAGTTATTACCCTTTTCTTGTTGGTTGGTGATCACCAAATTTCATCTCTCAATAAAGCCAACTTTGATGATCTATGGCATAATACGTAAGTACCGAAAGATTTGTTTTCTTGTCACGTGGTTAACATAGTGGTAATGATTGATGTAAACAGCAAAATTCTATTGAATGTTTTTTTAATTATTATTAAAAATACGGTTGTTACACTGCAATGTCATTAGGACTGTACGTCTTGATTTATCTTTGATGTACTATAGAAAGTAATAATTCTTATCCCTTCAGGCAGCATCCAACATTGCAAACTGTACATTGCCATTTTGTGCAATGGGGTTCAGATTTTGTACTGCATAAACTACATCGGAAGCTGTCCCATACAATGGCATATGCTCTGCTTCTTGTTGAAGATTCTCAGATGGAACTAAACGTCTGCATCTTCTGGCACATGTGATATCTTCACTTTTTCGTCTACATTTTTCACATTTTCATAGTGATATCAATCCTCTTGCTATAGAAATTCCAAAAATTTTTCAGCCGTAAAGACTAACTTTCACTCCTTGTAAAGAACAAGCTGTACGAATTTGTAATTGTTACGTCAACAAAATGCCAAAATATACGAAGCCACCAACATTGAGAAAATAACTTATCAGCCAATGCACAAGCAATATTGCAGCTTTATTATACTAAATATACAAAAAGAAAGGTTAGATGTAGATTCATATCAGTTATTATTAATAACTAGCTGGACCCATGAAATGGCATTAACTGGATTCCTTTAAGTTATTACGTACAGTGGCTGCCGCGTTTTAAAATCTCTGGTTAATAAACTCAGCCGTTTATTACATTCAATTTTCCCAGACCCCAAAACAAATAAATCAACAGAAATGCAATAGAAAGTAAAATACGATAATAAATTAAATACAAATAATCACTAGAAAAACCTCCCTATATTAAACACATCTCCGCCAATTATTAAACTTATATTAGCAAAAGACTGCTTCTTCAATGCCAGAATATTGTACGTGTATTTATCAAAGCTTTTCATCGTCCATTCATTTAACGTATTGTGAGCTATGGTTTATCTTTGAGGTGTGTAGTATTTCAGGTTTTGACCTAAATTTTCCTATCTTCCGTTCCCTGCACCTGTGAGACACTGTTTTCAGGGTTATTTTCCTGCAACGGACTTGAAAGGGATAAGATTTTTTTTAGCTTAGGTTCAGCAAAAACAATGCTTTATAGGTATTGTGAGTGAGAGTTCCTTCTCGAATGCCAACTGACAGAAAGATAGAAGTGCAACTTGTGTATCTCATCTTTTAAAGTTTTCACATTCAAAATCTTCCGGTACTTTTCCGTTTCGCCGGCGCAAATCTCGCCAAGCAGACTTTATTGGCGGCAACATACAGTATACACATAAAATATTATAACAAATGTTAGTTCTTAAGAAGTTATGATTTTGAAGGCATAAACATTTTAATATAGTTTAAAATTTTGTAAAAAGCCAATAAATAAAGACAATAAATTTGTCAAAAGACATTAAATGAATAATTTACTATGCTTTTATGGTCCAACATCCTGATTCGGCGCGGTGCATATCACGCTACCCCAAGTGATCTCATCTCACGTAAACTACGCTACAAAAATCTAATCATCTAATTATCTTATCTACATTAATTTCAAGTTAAATCTTAGTTCGGAATACAAATTTAAATGAAAGAGTTATTTCAATTCGTACGAATAGCTTACTCAGAAATTATGTAAAACCGCAGTGCTTTACTTCGCTAGTGCATTCTCATTAGAATTGATGAAGTTAACCCTTGACTTTGCCTTTTCTATATTTTCGTCTTTGGGTGTGCGGTGTGATTGCATCCTAATTGACTTAATTACTGTGAAGGGACAGGGCCTTAGACCATAAAATTGAACTATCTGGTAAAACTTCTATGTAATTGTATGTCAGTATTGAGAGAAACAATCAATTTGATAAGAAATGGATGTGACTTGTTTTAAAAATGAGGCGCAAAAGGTTACCAGCGAGGATATGCCGTTTGACATCAGTTGTACTATTATAGGCGACTTTTATCGCCTGCGCCAGCAAAACGGAAAAGTACCATCTTTCCTTTCGGACAGACACAAACAGATCACAAAGAATTATAAAAAAAATTATTCAATCATGCTTCTTACCATTACCGTACATTATCAATGTTTGAATGAGAAAGATGTAATAAGTGTAAGTTGAAGGAAAAAAAAGCATTGGTCATGCTTGTAATCATGATGTGGCAGATCGACTAAATAGTCAAAAGGAGTTATTTTTATTGTGTGTTTAACTAGCAACCTAACGAAAATATCAAGCAAAAAGACTTATCTGAAAAAAAAAAAAAGAAAAAAAGAAAGAAAGATAAACTGTAAATATTTTGGGGTTCTTGGTAACTGCAGCCAGAGAAAAAACTACATTGAAACTGGGAATCTCCCAAACAACATTATGCGGTTTGCAAGGAATTATTACTAAGGAAACAATAATAACAATATGCAAATATCTCAAAAAAGCACAAGAAAGATAAAAAATACAGAAACGTTGAAACTGTTTTCCAAGAATGTTTTCAAGTTATAAATCTGAAAATTGTTTCTGCTTCTAGAGCTTTTTTTCACCAATTCGTTAAATGCTAGATGAAAATTTTGTATCAACTGACACAAATTTTTTTTGATACAGAGGAAACTGGACTGCGCTACAGAACATTAAGAGAACAAACATTAATATTTAAAAGTGAAACAGCGGCTGTTTTAAGTAACTGCAGAAATGAGTAACTATGTTGTTAGCGTGCAATTAATGTACTGTGTAATTAATGTGCCACCATCTCAGAAGATATTATTTCACTGGCTATTGACAAAAATTGAAAACCTCAGTGTTTGAAAGCAATCAATAATTTATTTATAACTTACCATAGCAACAAGATCTCATTGATGACAAGTAGTATTTTTATTGATTTTCTTTTGAAATGGGACAACGAACTGTAACGGGGTAAGAGAACTTTACTATTTAGGTAATCTAGACAACTCTGCAGTACACGGCCCTTTGATCTCTCTGAAAAACACTAGTGTCGCTTCCTGCTAATACAGTTTTTAACATTCAGGGTATTATAAGAGTTTTCAAATGCCATTACAGAAAAGATGTTAAGGAAATAATGAAGAGAACTGAACGTTGTGAAAGCGCAAGCACTTCGAAGGGAACATCTTTGCTAGAGGTCATGCGTATTATAATCAAAAGAGTGGAGTTTATCTTTTTACTTCAGTTAAAAACTGCTTCCGAAAATGTGATCTTTATACAGAAACCTCAGAGCAATAGCTAGTTAATGTTAGAGGCAACATCGAAGTGATGAAGATTGTTTTTTAAAATATGTTCGCAAAAATATTGAGATAACGCGTATAAAAACTGTCTTTGAAAGTGTTAAAAAGAACTGTAGAAACTCACAGTGAAAGTCATACAGAAAAAAATTTAGATATGATTAACATCAGCCGAATCTAGCGCAGCACTTCAAGTTCTAAGAAAAACTATTGAACTGAAAGTTTATGCTCTTCAGAAAAAGCTACCAGCAGTTACAAACTGAGAATTCTGTCGAAACACTTTAGTTAAATACTATGAAACAAACACCGAATAATTGCTTCTAAGAGATAAAATGTCATCAAGAATGTAATTATAAAAATGTGTTTATAAAACATTAAAAGTTTATTTAAAAAATTACATAAACAGTTTAACTTTATGATTAACTTTAAATTATTATGTTATGGTTAATTATTGAATGAGTTTTTAATTTACTTCACCACTTTAAAACCGGTATCACAATTTGCAATACACAATATATTAAACACAGCCGCTTAATAAACTCAAATGCGTTTGGAATAGAAGTGATTTTAATAAACGGTTGGTACTCTATGGATATTTTTTTCTTGATGTACCATCAATGGTTCTAAACCAGACATCTATCAAACACCACAATAAAATGAAGCTATTTTGATGGTTATTAGCCATTATATGAACTATAGATAAAGTCAATTCCTTCAACTTAAAAAACAATATTCAAATTATATATATATAAACTTAATACACTTCAAGAAAATTTACCTTATACTATTAAATTCAGTTTTTGAAGAAATAGTGCTAGAACCAGAAAAGACCTTCATAAGTTAAGCCCAAAATGAATTTGTATAGCAATTTATATGTACATATTGTAAGAGAACTAACTGGATAAATAATGTTAATTTTAATGTGTGACTACTAATGTTAAAATATAAAAAATCTCAGTCTCAATTTTATCTGAGACGTTTTTGCAAATCATTCATCGAATGAGAATTAGTTGACAGCACTCATTAGAGAGAAATGTATCACTTACCTTCATCATATTACACATCACATAAAAAGGAAATGAACTCGTCTGAAAGCTTTTATAGTTTATTCACGGCTCATCGAATACATAGTACAACGCCTCTGCTGTTGATTCGCATGCCCTTCCCGTTTCTCAGGTTATATTAAAACTTGGAAAAAAAAAAGTGGAATGAATTGTCCTGCAGATGAGCAACCGCGAGTGGTGGCGATATCTTTCATCTTTTACCTTTCAGAGCCTCGTCAAAACAAAGCAAAACAAAAAAAAAAAAAAAAAAAAAAAAAAAAAATTGAAAAGAGCTTTAAAAGATAAAAACTGTCTTTTTCTCTTAGCAGCATTTGGGTAAGTGAGGGGAGGGGAGGTGTGAACAAAAATCTCGAGGATGTTTAGCGACGCATGACATTATTGCTGGAGCAATGCAAACTGCACTTTCACATTGTTGGTCTAACATCGCAAACTCACATTTTGCAGGATTAAATTTAAATCCAATATAACTGTTGACTTAAATCACCATTGCGAAAACTTGTGGCATCTAGAAACACCAAATTTTGAACATACGTAGTCTTCCATCCCAACAATGGACAATTTGTATTCTGAATTAGTTTATTTATTTCATATCTTCTGCGAATTTAAGGAACGTTTAATTAAAAGCACATTAAGAGAGAAATGTTGTTTTGGCACTCGACAAAGCGTAATATATTTGTGCTTCAGATTTATTTAGAAAACTCTCATATATATAAGAAGTGTGTTGCCACTGAGCAAACCACAATATATTTCTCTTTCGAATTTAATCTCATTGTAGAAAACGGCGGCACCTTGAGCGTACGTAGTTCTCCATGCGAGCATATGCGCCTCAAAGCCTGAATTTTGAATTTTAATTTTGTTTTTAGCCCAAAAGGGGATATTAGTCTCGAAACAGGATTTTGCGTTGGTTCACTATAAACGGCGTGTAGCCTTTCAAATTGTTTCCACCATATTATCTCCCTGTTTTATTTTTAAAGAAATCAAATAATGAAGAATCTGTATGTATGTTCCACGCATTGTGAAAGACGACAGGACCTACCGCCATACAGTTTTGAATGACGTAGTCCTCCACCCGGAACATGTGCGCCTGAAGCATAAAATTTTGAATTTCGAATTTGTTTTATTATTTTTTATTTCGTTTTTTTTTTTATAAAACTTAAATTAATTCTGATTAACAGACTCAACGATTTGAAGGCCAGCAGTGGCTGTTCGAAAATAAAATATTTTTATCTCCAGCGCGTGAGACTGTTGTCTTTCGAGAAATTTCAAGATTCTTCTAATGTAAAAGCTTTCAATTTTAACTAACAAACTCGAAAACAATTTGTTGCCGGGCCTGGAAATAAAAGAAGTCTGAAAGCTTTCATATTTTATTACATAAAGGGCAGAGTTCTTTTTTATTTATTTACACACACATACATACACGTTGCGAAATCATTTGGGCTAAAAATATTTTAAAACAGCATATCTTTAGAATTTCCAATGGACAGTCTCGCGCGCTGGAGATTAAAATGTTTTTTAATCGTTACAGTGTTACCATTGCTCGCTTTGAAATCGGTGAGTTTATTAATTAAAAATTCGTTTACGTTTTGCAAAATATAAAATAGAAAATGAAACAAATTCCAAATTCGGGTCCCCAGGTGCCCATTTTCGGGTAGAGGGCTACGTTATTCAAAATTTGATGGCTCTAGGTACCGTTGTTTTTTCACAATGCGAGAAACATGCATGCATTCATCTAAATTCTCCATTTATTATTTAATTTTTTTAAAAAAGTACAGGGCGATAATATTTGGTTGCAACAATCTGAAAAGTAAAATGGGCATTTAATAGCGAATAGATGCAAAATGCCGTTTTGAGACTAATAGCCCCTTTGGGCTTTAAAAAAAAAGGTAACTGGACCAAGTGCAACAGCAGACTGGTAGACTGCGAGCTTAACGAGAGTTTAAAGGACCTTAACAAACCCTTTTAGAATATTCCAAACTTAATCAGGAAACTTTACGATTTAAAGGATGTGCGTTGCCGACTAGGAAAATGTAAGCTATTTGTCTTCCAAATTTAATAAAGAAACTCAATGATTTGAGTCGAATGTGTTGCTACTACCCACTATAAAAATTTTTTCTCACACTCCAGTTTTTACCATTTGGTTAAGCATAAGAAACGTAATTTTTGTTTGAAGTTTATTTTGTTATTAACAAACTAAGTACTTTAAAAGCAGATTCATTTCAAATATTATTAATGACTAGCTGGACTCGTTAAATGATATTAATTGAATTCATTAAAACCATTGCTTACTGCTAGAATTTTGTACATAGATAGGGGATTTTAGTACAGATATATGTGAAATTGTATTTTTCTGTGTAATGTAACATACGCTCGATAATTTGGCAAGCTATCACAAAGCTGGCAACGGTTCTAGCGACTAATTTTGTCACCAAATTTAACGAAAAATGGCCAAAAGGCACCAAGATTGGTGACTATTTTACGGCATTTGACTATATCACGGTAATAGGTATTCTAATTGTATAAGTGTAATTGACCACTAATTAGCTGTAACGGTAATTCGACCGTCATATTCCCTCAATAATTTCGAAAAGCAGAAAGTAGTAGAAATATCTCGGTTGCAGGGTGAAAAACTATATAAGGCCAAGAACAGCATCTGCTATCATTCGTTCTTGTTGTTAGCTGTTAGAGCAGCTTGAGTTCGGAGCATTGATATATCTCCAGGTAGCTTTCTCTTTAGCTTTGCTTTGCGTTTTGTTTAACGTTCATAGTAGTTTAAAGTTTAACTACTGATTGTACTCTGTGATATTGTGAAGAGACGACCGTCTTTGTGGAAAGTTCCAGATCTCTGAAGTGTTTCATTTGATGAAATAAATTTATCAACCTGTCATCGGTTGATAAATTTATTTCATGTGCTTTAATCTATTACAATCCCGCAGCCACGCAACAATATCTACGCTTGAAATAGATGTATCACATGCCCAAACACATATACCCCAAAACACGTACCTGTAATACAAATGAAATGCTGTACTGTATACATAGGGCTGAATTAACCATTAAGCAATAGAAACACGTGCTTAGGCATCGAGGAAAGAGGGCACAACAAACAGGTTCTTATATGTTTTGGAAAAAGAATATCAAAAGATTTCCTATTGGGGTTGTACCATGGGATCCAATTTCGAGGCTGTCGAAGACTTTATTAGACTAAAGCCTCGTTTCCATTAGTGCGTTGCGAACGCGTAGCGTCACTGGAAGAAACTCATACGCAAACACTATTGCGTTGGATTTACGCGTACGGAAGTTCGGTGGTAGATTGCATTTATTGCCACCAGATATCTCTGTGGGACATCTTACGGGATTCGGACTCTTAAGATACTTAAATTCCATGTTGTTATTTTAAGATACTTAAATTCCATGTTCGGACTCTTAAGATACTTAAATTCCATGTTGTTAGCTGTTAGAGCAGCTTGAGTTCGGAGCATTGATATATCTCCAGGTAGCTTTCTCTTTAGCTTTGCATTGCGTTGTGTTTAACGTTCATAGTAGTTTAAAGTTTAACTACTGATTGTACTCTGTGATATTGTGAAGAGACGACGAAGAGAGAAAAATTTATTTCATAAGCAGAAATAAAATATGAACTGTGAAAGTAAAGTACGCTAGCAATTTCTAGATAAGGAAGGTTATAATGTATATTATGAACATCACTAATTGCGTAGAAGCTGAAGCAATTAAAAATTTCTTTGCCTTTCTGGAAGCCTTAAATATTAATGAAATGATATATAATTAAAACTAAAATGTACTGTTACAGCGAAACAAATAAAAAAGTTAAACGCATTTAAAAAAAGTTGGTACTTTAATAATACAGGGCAAACTGTAAAGTAAGGTTCACAATATTTCCACAAAATTTGCTATGCTTGTATACCGTTGACCGCCATGTGAGATTGTATATTTTTAAAATATACCCAAATTTGGGGAGAAAACGGGTAATATATAAAATTTTAGCATCAATTTCTTCAGAGTCGTAGCTGGATAATTTATTAGAAAGCTCGTTTGTTCCAAAATGCGCTATGCGCAGTTATATCTTATGCATAATCCATAAAAAGTTTTTTTTAATTCATAAATTTTAAATTCATATCTCTTTTTAAAGAAGTTACAAAGATAAGCTTTTTCTCTTTATATATACATACATAAGGCAAAGAAAATGGAAATATTTAATTAATTCATTCCTGCGCTCCTGCTGGAGAAGACTGAATTTTAAAGCAATTATTATAATACGTTTTTTTTTTTTAAAAAATGCTTTATTAGAAATATTTAGGGTATTAATACTAGATAAGGATCTAAGATTAATACTATCTCATGTTAATTGGTAGTGAAAGTTTAGAGCTGGAAACATCCCAAAGTCTCAGCACATGTATGTACATTCACATAAAAGTGAAAAGAAAAAATATATACATATACAGGGAGTAAGCTTTAAATTCGTAACTTTCAAAATAAATTCTTGCAGGGAAAATTAAAATAAATAAGAGCATAAATAAAACATTATATTTAATGCATATAATAATAGAAATAAATCAGGTACTATTCGGTTTCGAGGACCGTAAAAAATTGCAGGGAAAATGTACGCGCATAAGCGCCAAATCTAGCAAACGCGCCCATTTAACAGCGCGCCAAATCTAGCGTACGCGCTGATTTCAGATTGCGTAAGTTTATATAGTTCCATATTTCTTAAGACACGATTGAAATACTAGTTTAATTTTTAAATCCTTTTTTGATATCCTATGGATTTAAAAATTTGGGAATTGCCCATGACAAAAAGTCGGCAATAGAATTTTAGGTAAAGTGCAGAATCACCCACTGCTTGACGCGTTTTTAAGAAGTGCACATACTCGGTATCCATGTGCACATCAACCTATTTTCACTTAAAAGAAAATCCTAGAATTGCACAAAAAATGGCACTGACTTTATCTATGTACACATCGACCTATTTTCACTTAAAAAGTAAAAGAAATTGGCAAAAAATTTAATTGTTTTTAATCTTGTAAAAAGCGGCAAACAAATAAGTGAGCAATTCTGCACTTTATCGAGAATATTTTCAAAGAAAAGGCATCGTTCATTATAGAAAATTACGTTTGAACAACCAATGAGATGAAATTATGCTTTAGCGATAAGTCGGTAGCGAAATAGCGATGCAGGCATCCTTACAGTTATGTTTAGAAATTTTTATATAAATTATAATAATGATCTGAAACAGTTAATTACTCTTCTGCTTCCATTCAGTCATGTTT